ACAACATGGTTACGCGCCACACCAGCGCATGCTGCGCCCCTTAGGCGTGGGGCTCCATGCGCCACTGGAGCTTTATCGTCAAGGGCTAGAAGGGCATCGAACCGTTGATCAAGCCAGTTCGGCAGAAGAAAAATTCGGCCGAACTCAGCTTGCCACCAGACGGACTTGGCGGGCAAGACCGCCCATCGATGCGGGTGTCAGAGAGGCCAACGCAGACAGTCTGAAGGCCACTCAGACCTGGCTTGGGGCGGACGCAGACGCACGAGTGACCGGCTCCGCTGGGCTATCTTTGCGTGCCGGTGACTGTCTCCTGTTCGGAGAGGAGGCCAAAAAACCAGCCTCCTGTCAGCTTACCGAGCGGAGTTGGCTGAAGCAGCACCAGCTGAGCTGGGAGCCGGGCTCGAGCACATCAACAGGCACCAGAAGTGGAGAGGGTGAGGTGACCTTCGGCAGCCCTGGGCCCTTTGGACCTGGCGCCGAAGGGGCCGCCGGGGGCCTGAAAGCCGTTATATCGGGTAGGCTTTCCAAGGCGTCCACTTCGTTCAATACCTCTTCACCCTCTGCCGTCTCTTCTTCTTCGTCATCCTCCACTTCTGAGTCATTTGACCCACCGATGAATGCGTTAGTTCAGTTGGCTCACAGTCTGTCTATCAACACCACGGCCACTGGTACCGTTCCCGCGACAACTATCCTCTCTTCAAGCACCCTAGAGGCCTCCATTGACAGCGGCCACAATGGAGGGGACAAGTCGGTTAGGAGTCCGCAGACAGTGGTTGCTTCGTCACTAGCAGAGACCCAAGGAACGGGCATCGGGCCAACCGATAATGCATCCATCGGGCCGGCCAGGTCGATTAGCGAGTTAGCCGCAATTACTAGGGCTGGCTGGAAGCCTCGAGAGGTAAGATCTCCCGGAGTGCTGAGGCCCGCAACTCCTCTTCTTCCGGAGGCGCAGCTGGGACCGGCAGCGGCATCAATGGGCCCTGATATGCAGGGCTGCCGGAAGACGATTGGCACCAGATTAAATGCCAGCCATTTGGAGGGCTCGAAGGTCGGCACCGCCCTCGGCGAGTCTGGAGACTCACAGCAACTCCGCGTACTCCGGCCGCCCTGTGTTCCACAACTCGGCTGGCGCAGTCAGCAGGACGGCACACTTTGCTACACCGCGTATGCACGCTTCGAAGACGCTGGCATACCGTTGTCAGGCCGAGAGAATCGGGAGGCGACCAGGCTGAGCGCTGGCTACGCCGGAGGCATCACTGCCTCAACAAGCTCCGGTTTGTCCTGCTCCAGTCCAAGCCTGCAGGCCTCAGCCATGGCCCAGTGGCAGGCCTTACGACAGCGTTATGCTCGGCCTCTGCTCGGCCTAAAACGCCGGTTCCGCTGCACGGTCCAGCTACCGCCCCGAGTGCTCTATTACCGTGGCATCTACGTCCATCTGCTCACCATCACAGGGCCGACACGGGCCGACATCTTGCGCTGTCGGAACGCTTTGCCGAGTCGGCTTGCGAAAGCTCTTATCACAGCTCGCGACAAATGGGAGGACATTGGGACAAGTGTAGGCAACGGTGGTCACGGTGGCTCCTGCGGCGTTGTCATCGGTGCCGGCGGTGCCGGCTTCAAGTAGGCTCCGACTACGACCTGCTTCATGCATCATGGGGTTGTGAGTGGTCGTCGAATCGGCTGTTGGGGGGGTCTGTTGAGCCTGCGAATGATCTGAGTGATAGACCATACTAAGATGTCTGGAAAACACCGCAGCCGCAGACACAATCAGTCTTCTGGATCCGCTTTCATTACGCATTTGAACTCGTTGAAAAGGAATCTTAAGCCGCTTTTCAACCGAACGGGTAGCCAAACTCTCTGCCGGTTCAAGGGAAAAATTGTACATGCCTATGTTTGTATATGTGTATGTGTGCGTATGTGTGTGCTTTTGCCTGTTTGTCGCTATACCGACGTGTACTCATTTATTGACATCTAATTTTGGCAGCGTCTTAGAGTTCTGCTTAGCCCGCCAGATAAATAAATGCCTGTCTGTTTGTTTGTAATTAAACCTTACTGAAACTTTGATGGAATTCAGCAAGCCTGAGTCTTCATTATGAGCCTGACCGTCCTCAATGGACCGGCTATTTTTGGTTGCATCGACAGGCGTCGCTTTTCCGCAACGTATACTCTCCATAGCCGTGGCAGCCAGGTAACTGTCTTTACTAGAGCAGAGCAGTGAAACTTATCTGAACAGCAGAAAAACATGCATGCGGTAATGAAATGGAAAGAGTGAAAGAGTTCAAAGAACAACAACGGTGAATTCGAACCAAGAAGAGATGCACTAAAACATACTAGATTACGATTAGGACTATACAGATTGAAGGAATGGTGGAGGAAAACTGAGAATGTCGCACTTCGAAGAAAGGCCTGCTATTCACAACCCACGGTTCCACCAACATGCAACAAAAATTCTAAAAATAAATGTTGGTGTTACACTAGACTTTGTGTGCTAACTCTGATTTATAGGCGGTTTACAGCAGGGACCAAGAAGGTCTGATTGGATGCATTGGGCAAGGGGGTAGGCAACCATATTGGTCCGACCAGGTAGTGAAATTGTAGTCCGGTCAAGCAAACTGGGCTTTGAGGCTTCGCCTATCCACTAGATGGATTATTACG